ACACACTGTAGGATATAATCATCATATAAAATCCAATATTTGATTGTATACTACTCTTAAATATAAGGTCACATTTGAGTGTTTTTGTTATTTTTCTATAGGTTTTGATTTTTTTTATTTTATAATGAGACAGAAACAAAAATAATGCAAACAAGAATAAAAATTATTAAAATGTTATACTGCTTGAGGAAATAATATGCTTTGCTTTTTAAATCATGAGCAATATACAGATTTTACAAACCTTGCTCCTAGGCTGTTAGGATTAAAATATGAATTTCAGTCATGGCATCCCCATTAAGCTATTTGGTATATTCTATTTTTATTTCCATTTTTTGTTGTYCTGATTTCTTTTCTTATATGCAAAGTGACTTTATAATATAAAGGAATTAATAAACATATTAGAAACATATATCTGAATACAATTACTACATTCTACTGATGGTTTATTTCTCTCTCAATTAAATCAAAAGCTGTTTAAAAATAAGGATAGTGTTGTCCTTGCTTTTTATCTCTCATGCAAAATATAATTGCTGAAACAAGTATTATTTGGTGACAGATCACACCAAAGTTATAGTTATTTCTGTCATTTGTCTGATAAAACTTGTAGCATTACTACAACCTAGTTATAAGAATCAACAAATTTCATTAACTAAGTCTAAGAGAATAAAGATAAATTTAGAAGTTTATTAAAACTGATAGGCAGTAAAGATGACAGATTATTATTTTAAATGATTTAGCCTTATATGACATTATAAAGTAAACTAAATGAAATTTGTCAAATACAAGTAGATGGGATACGGCTTCAATTTTTTTTTAATGGGTGAATAGTGTGGATACTGTTTTATTCATGAAAATATTTGATTAGATCTTTTTTAAAGAATTTGCAAGACTTCCACATATATATCAATAGCTTTGAAATATTTAAAGGCATATTTTCTATAATAAATAACATGGGCTAGAATTACAAATTGTATACTTGCCTCCAAAATATCCATATCAGGACAAAAGTGACTCATTACATTTCCAACAGATAAAGAATCTTATGTTTGCCCAAGTTAGATCCTTAGAGTGATGTTAAAATTTTTCTGAATTACTCTAAAATAACTTATAAATTATTTCTAAATATAAAGAGGTACTTAAGATAGTTTTTAAATACTAAATTACTTAATGCATTGTTTTCATTTTTTTGAGACTTAAAAATACATTATCATTTAAGTAGTTTCTATTTTCAAAAAAGTTTAGTGCATAGTATCTCATCCAAACAGTAAATGATTCATTTAATACTCTCTTTCAATTTTGATCTGATCCAAAGGACCCTGGAGGAGAATCCAACACTGTCCTCATTTATAATCATAAATCATAAATTATAGTTCCAATCGAGTTATAATCAAATTATTAGATATTGATTCTTTTCCTCTTTAAGAACACATAATCAAAGCATTTCTCCCTAAGTTACCAAAATGATAATCTTTATTAATCATACATTAGAATATTAAAAAGTATGTACTAACAATTATTCTAAATACATTTTAAAGGACTATGTAATGATAGATTAATTACCAGATGGTAAAGAAAGCAAATATGGAAAGAGTTTATACAACACTGGCTAAAGACAAAAAAAATGTATATAGAAAGTAGCAGAAAAAATAATCAATACTCAGTGTATGAAACACGGCCAGCCAGAACTCAAACAAGACTTAGGGTAAAGTGGAGAAGTGAGGATGGAGCAGAGTCCTCCCTCGCCTTTCCTTTTTTGTCAATTTATGATCAATTCTTATCACCTTTTGAGGAGGAGAAAACATACATAACACAATAATAGTTAAACACTGTACATCACTGTTCTAAACAAAATCATCAAAGGTGGAGGACTCAACTCTGTTCTCATACTAGATCTTCACATCAAAGAGTTTTTTTTTTCTTTCTTGTTCTTCCTACTTTGTAATGAACAAAAATTTCTTTTTAAACATAAAATGCTTTAAACTGGAGACTTGACCACCAGATAGTGGTATGAATTTTATTTCTGAAACATTATTATATTTCTACTTATCACCAAAAAAGTAAAGAAAAACAAGAAAGCAAAATGTGCAAGACTTTCCCCCCTAGGATGGCAAATTCAAAGCAAGACTAATTACAGTATCTGTTCCAGACATACTGACATGTTGCCAGTTGCCTTCGAGCAATAGTCTTACAATTAGTTTGTTTGTAGGTTGGATCCCCCAAATTTGTTTTCTTCACAACAAAACAACCAAATCAAAACACAGTTCAGGATTTTCTCTAATGTGGGTTCAAATCTCATTTTCTGTGTAATTTACCCAAGTGCAAACTAGACAGCAATACTTTTGGAACCCACTCCGAATAAACCTTGGCTTACCTTGTTAGTGTWAGAGAAAACAGTCATAAAAACAACCTCATAACTCTACAGTGCTCATTGCTGTGGTCCTGGGAAATGAGCTGTTGATCTGTTTTAGAGCGCCACTCATGCAAAGGGTGCTGAAACAAATGTTCTGATAATTTATTTTTCATGAATTAATCCACTTACATGTGCTTTCACAAGACCCAACACATATTTTTGGAAGAAAGTAACCAGAAGTCATCTAGAATTAATGTCTTAAGTTATGCCTCAAAGTGTTTCACTAACAAGGTTTTGTACTTTGTCATGTTGAGGGGTCAATAAAGGGCAATTTTGGCTGAGTATTATTATGTGTGTTTAGGAGAAAAAAAGAAATCAATATGGGTAAAACCAAGAATTCAGTAGAGCCAGAACAAGTATTTAACACTGAGAAAATCACCCCTTGTCAACACTTACAATGTTTACCATTGTACAAAGAACTCTTCAAGTTCTTCATCTGTTCTGCAATCCAACCATTTAGTGTGGCACATAAAGATAGATAACGGGCATGAAGGAAGGGCTCAAATCGGATCAATGTCCAGTCCTCACCACGTTTGAACACAGAAAAAGAAGAAAAGAAAGAAAAAGAGGGGAATGGGGGGGGTCAGAGAAATAGCAAGGTATAGGGAGGGAAGAAAGGAAAGAAAGAAAGGGGGGAAAGGAAGGAAAGAAGGAAGGAGGAAGGGTGGGAAGGAAAGAAGGAAGGAAGGAAGGAAGGAAGGAAGGAAGGAAGGAAGGAAGGAAGGAAGGGAGGGAGGGAGGAAAGGAGGGAGGGTGGGTAAGTGGATAAAGAAGTAAAGCTTCTATCAACAAAACAACAAAGTTCATTTTTGCAAATTGCATTTTATGTTGGTACAACCAATGAAAGAAAAGGGCAACATAATGTGTGGCCAAAGAACTTAAAATAAAAACATATATGACTGGCTGAACATCCAAGTCCTTGAAAACACTGTAACCACTATTGATATTTAATTTTAAATTCTTCCTCTGCAACCTGGTCACTGCTCAGGATTTTCAACCTGCACCATTCAGAAATATATGAGCATAATAACCAATGAAAATAACTCAATCATAAACAATATCATAAATTAAGTTAAAGTATTGAAGATAAGTGAAGACCCTTACATAAAGTGTTCTATAGGAAACAAACAAGACTTAGATATTTAAGAAAACTAGAAACTCTTCTGTATCTTGTAATATGCAGAGTTTTCATCGATGAGAAGACACTCATCCCTGCCTATTGAAACTACAAAACTACTGAATTGATGCAGAACTAGACACTCGAACCATGAATACTTGAGCAAAGCTACAGAAATATTTCAAGCCTACTTTGATACAATGTATCTATGATATCACTCACCACTCTACATTTCTAAATAGCAAACTAGAAAAAGATTAAGACCTCACCTTGACCCAAGACATATGAACTTGATTTACAGAAAATTAATGTATTTTATATTTTGTGATTAGCATAAATGTGAAATTATGATTTCACAGAAGTTAGAATACTAATAGCTTCTACCAAAGAGGAAAAAACTTTTTTTCTCAATATGGTTGGAATATACAACATCAAATGATCATAAAAGAGAAGGTATTCCAAAATATTTTTTAAATATTTTAGAATAAAGAAAGTGTGATATATTTTTGTCAAAAAATTGATAGATTATACCTCGAATCTATATATCTATAACTTTTGAGAACGATTAATATTAAAAAAATAAAAACTTTTGAGGTCAAATTATGCTTTTTAAGCAAATTATGTTAATGAAAATATCATAGATAGAGATGTTTACTAAATGACATAGCAATTTTACTCTGAAAACTATAATAAAATTGGAGCAAATAACATTAAATTGGAAGGTTAGCACATTAGTTTTTTTTTAAGTTTATTACATAAAATAACATGCCTACCTTAGACTACCTAGAAAGACATTTTATAAATAATATTTCTCTATACTTTTCTTCAAAACTGAGGATCTGTATGTTGTATTTATTTTATAGTTCCTTGGGGAACAGTATGCGTTATTAAACTGAACTATGTCATTTTATGATATCAATGTATGTTTTTCTAAATAACCCAATCAAAAAACATTGAGAACATATTTCTAATTATTATAGGACCAAAAAAAAATTGCCTGCACAACAATAGCAAACAATCATTTCTCAAAGCCAGCCCAAACACATAATCAAGGAGAGAATATAAAATTGATTCTAAGGTCACCGCAAACCTCCAGTAATTTTACAGCATTGTAAAAAAGAAAAGTAGAAGAAGGAAAAATTCACCCAGGGACCAACTTTTTTTCCTAAGGCCTTGCCACTGTTACCTTTCACAGTCCTATAAAGCCAAACCAGGCAGTACATTCTCCAACAATGTGAGTGATTTCATTACCTTTTAGGTTYACATTTAAAAATCTTCCATAGCTATTCTTTGTCACATAGCTTGTGAACATTTATAGAACTCATTAGAACTATGAAAAATATTGGTTCATAAAGATCAACAAACACAGAAGGAGTGAAACAAATCCAAGCAACACAAAATGAGTCAATAATAAATCAAAAACCATCACATACTTCATGTATTATATGTGAAAACAAAAAAGAAATTTCTTACCAAGTACCCCAAGCCGATAGTTGACAGTGATGACGATCACATTGCCATAGCTCGCCAGCACACTCCCATCATATAAATTTCCCGTACCTTCCATGTATGAGCCACCATGGATATACACCATCACTGGCTTGGGACCTCCACTGTCCCGGATATCTGAAAAACAAATGGTTGGCAATTGTTCTTACCCTCAAAAAAAAAAAAAAAAAAAAAAAAAAAACACAAATAACAAAGCAGAGAGTACATTTTCATTTTAGGGGCAGAGGGCATGATTTTAATATAGGTCTTTAAATTGCTGTTTTTCTTAAAGTGTTTCTTAAGCAGCTCATGTTAAGAACCATGGAGCAAGAAAACAATTGTCTTCTATCTGAAATTTAGTTTACAAATTATAAACTAAATTAAAAACTTGAACAATTTGAAAGTGGTATGAATTTTAATGCATTTTAATTGATTCCGGAAGTGACAGTAAAACCAAAAGAAATAACCAATTGATCATGGCTCTTGGAGTACTTTTTAAAACTGATCTCATATGGAATTTATGAACCATAAGCTAAGGATGATGGTATMATTATTATTGTGAATAAACAATGTTTTTTTCATTTTTTATTTACTGTAGACCTTTGTATCAAATGCAGTATGATTACATTAAGTCATTTATGCTTCCATTTGTGGACATTATTATAGTATTATACTATTCATTGCAAGAAGTTTCATTTTACTCTTTGCATAGTATTAAACAAATGTTTTGGCAGTGAAGTCATATGTATCTGAGCTTCTGTCACTGTTGTATTTATGGGGAATGCCATTGAAATGTTTTTTTTTTTTTTTTTTTTTTTTTTTTTWGGAAGTTCTGACCATTCACTAATTCCACCTAACCTGAACCTTTGGGAGAACAGAACAACAAAATGATAATTTTCACCTCTTTCTGTAGCTAACATACACTTCTTATCCCTATTTTGGTGCTCAATTTTAATCATATAACCTTGAAATAGGAGAAAGCTTAGTTTGAGTGTAAAGTGACAAAATTTATGGTGAGCTTAAAGTGATTTCTATAACTTTGAATTTTGTCCAAGAAGGTTTACTTTTCTAAGATGCATTTCTCACAATTATGTAATTCTCAATAAGGTTATAGGAATAACATATAAGGGAAATGTAAGAGAATTTTAATTAATATTATACATGCACTAATTTCTATAGGAAAAAAGCTAACATATTATGGTTTCATTATGTAGATTAAAATGTGATTTTGAATATATATATATATATATATATATATATATATATAAACAAAACATTATTATTACATAGTAGCCCATGAGGTCTAATATCCAAAATTAAAATTATATCAAGTATATTATCTGTATTTTTATATCAATATTAAGTGTATCATTTAAGATTATGGTTTTGTTCCTTTGCTTCTAAAAAAAGTTTTAATCAAATTCTCCTACAACTTTACATTTGAGGCACTAGTTTTCAGAATGAACTAACATGATACAAATTCATTGAAAGAACTGGTGATTATTTAGAGATTGGCTTACATTTCTTGTGAAAAATAATGACTAATTTGAATCCTTCCATTTTTCTACCATAATAGTAAAATGATTTCTATAAATGAAAAGTCCCTTAGGAGCAGAATTTTAGCTCAATTTGTTTGTCCAGATTTTCAAGTTGGAGAAATGTCTCATGGCAGAACTTAGAGACTTAATTTTTTWAAAAGACTATTTTAAATTGACTTAAAACCAGTGGAAAAATTCACCTCCCCACTCCTTTCCCCAAAGATGCATTTGAGAAGAATGTTTTGTTTTTAAGTAGTGAAAGGAAGATATTTTGATATTAAAATCATCTTCTAGATACAACTACATTTAAGAGGGAAAACCTGGATTTATTTTCTCTAGGAATCCTTGGGAGAGAAAATGGTATTCATTCCTATGTAAAGAATTGGGGGCTTGTGTTATGGAGAAATTAGATTTACACCAAGGACATAATCCTTTTGAAATTGCTAAACTACAAACCTTAAATGCCTACTTTATACATACAGTTTTAGCTTCTTATTTTTCTACAGTGGTTGGCACTGAAGAAGCAATAATAAATTATTAAACTGAAATCATTAACTGACTGTTCACAGCAGAAGTTGTACTCTGCTAATTGTATGCTTGGAGGTAGCACAGAGGGAGGCTGTTTCAGAATTCTTCTTTAATTAAAATTACATAGAATTACAAAGCACCRACTGTGAACAGTAATGAAATCTTGGTAGAACCATCCAGTTCACCTGGAAAACAATACAGAGAAGACCTGCCACATTTTATACCTAATAACTGAATGAAGTGGACATTGTTAGGAAGCACTGAAAACATGACAAAAGATTTTAGAAGCTATTTTAAGAAGGATCTCTTTATTTTTACTTAAAAATTAGACTTGAAAGGATTACAGATAGCTTGGATTAATTTTAATTTTCAACTTATCTTTTCAAACTTTTCAAAGATTTCAGCCTTGCCCAATAATTTATAGAGAGTAGTTCTTTTCTAGAAAGTTCTATAAARTTCTAATGCTGGGTTCTGAAAAATACTTCTTTATGCTTGGAGTAACTTTGAGTTAATACTTTAAGGAATATTAATTACTAAAACAGATAAAAGTCTTAGACATTAGAATCTTTAATATTGCTAATAAAATTTGGGGAAACATCAGAATTCTGAAAGAGCTTCTCATACAAAATAATTGTAATTCTTTGTTAGTGTTTTATCAGAATGATCCATCTCAGACTTTACTTCCTTGCATAATTGACTTTTTATGTTAATAGAAAATGTAAACAGTCCAAATTATAACTATTTTCTTTAAAAAAAAAACTAGATTATTTATAAATGAAATAGATATGTCATATAGCATACCATTGAATATTTTAATAATATTTTAAGTAATTTTTAATTTTTAATATTTGTAATATTTTTATCATATTTTTAATAATCAAATTTCAGGGGTACATTTTTCTTCAGTGGGAGTATATTCAATGGACTTAAGTAATTTGTATTGAATTTATTAGAGCCAAATCATCCTTGCAGACCATGTCTTTTGTGTAACTCCTTTAAATGAGGTGCAACATGTGAGCTATATATTGTACTTAAGATCCCTTATTTGCCTAAACAGTTGCTACTAAAATCATCAGAACATTCTCAGAGATCTTCAAACACTAGCTCAGTTTCAGTACATTATAAATGTTCATCAAGCATTTTCTGTTTTTGCAATTTTTAAAAAGCTTGCTAACTACATATGGCTTTGAAAGGAGTCCAGTGTTATTGGAAAAATACTACCTGAATAATTATTTTCTTCTAAATTCTAATAAAGTATTTTAATTTTTCAAATTAATAAAATAAAAAACTTGGAATCTGAGTGTATATCATGATTTTAAACTTAGGAACTATTTCATCTTTTTGATAAATCAAAATTTTATATCACTTTAATAAGCATCAATAGATCTAGAGTGTTTAGTAGGAATTTATTTGTGCCTGACAAACAGGATTTGGGATCACAGATCCCTGTAATGACCCTAGTAAATAGTTAATAGTCACATAACTCCTTAAATATGTTTACTGGTTTCCTTCTTCTTAAAGGACTCACAAAGTGGTTAATTGACTATATTTTAGAGTTTGGAGCATTTAACGGTTTTAAACTTTTGAAACATTGCCTCAAGTAAATCTTTCTCCAACATATAAAGGAACATATCACAACATTTTGTGCTTTCTACTCGTTTTTATGGAATTTGATTATAATTCAGAACTGCCAAAATAATAACGGTTGAATTTGTGCTTGTTAACCTGGATATAACACAAAGTACATTTTTAGTTTTWAAAGTATACAAAAATCTATGAAGCAAGTTTAAGAAAGCTCTCTGTAGAATTTAAAATTGCATTTGAATATTGAAATGTTAATATTCAGATATTCTTAGCATTATTAACATACTTTTAAAGTCTCCCAAATTCCTAAATGAATTGGAGGATATCTGGGATGTTGCTTTTAACTATTTTTATCACTTCAGTTCTTTGTAAACTATGGAAATAGCCTATAAAATATACAGCTCTTTTGGTTATTATAAACCATACATGAAAAATGATACAATTGTGTTTGGCTTAGAGACAGCAAAAGGGCATTGGCTCACGAGATTAGAGTAAAAGCAGTCCACTGAGAAGTCTTCTGAGAGCATCAGTAACCCAGGAGCAAGTTGTGGACATAAGAGGTTAGTCTCAGAAAGCAGTGGCTGATACAGTACCTTGAAATCAGGTAAAACTATCAAGGTGTCACAGGTATGGCAAAATAATGGGGGAATTTCCTATAAATGAACAGAAAACCTGACTTCTGAGTGAAGTAAGCAAATAATTTATCAAGTAGTTTCTATTTTTTATGCCCACTGTCATTGATTCAATGTTTGAAACAACTAAGTCTGAAAATTAGACTCAGTTTTTAGTCCTACCCACATCTACAAAGTGATTCTAAAAGACATTGAATAGAAGATACTCAGAACTTTCCACAATATCTGTTCCTGTAGGATATTAGAATTCATCTTTCTTCTCTTCAAAACAAGTATTCAGTAAAACACAGAGGAACAGACTGAACTAGAACTGGCAGCTTTGACATTCTACACTTTTGAACATTTAAGAAAATTTATGGATTGATAACTCTTGTGATGAGTGGCTTAGTACATAACTTCAATACTACCTGCCAATTCAAATAAGGGTTTAGGTTATTTTTAATGGCCAATTTAAAAATGTTAGATGGGCTTCACAATAGATCTATAAAGTAGATTCACATCTATAGGACTTAACTTACAATGGTTGTCCCCAGGTATTTATTTTAAATATGTAAATGCATTACTTGGTGCTGTTTTACCAAAAGAAAACATGAATCATATTAAATCAGAACCAAAATATTTTTAAAATAGGGAGGTGATGTATATTATCTTTGTGATTACATTGGAAAGTTATAGACTTTGCAAAGATATACACTAAGAAGTCCTTTGTACTCACTTTATTATTTAGATAACAAATGAATAGGTTTTAGAATTTTCGGAGAGCTCAACAAATTCAAAATCTATAAGTGGAAACAGTCTTCATTAGAGCAGGGAGAACAGTAACCTTGCCTTACAAAGTCAAAAAATGTTCTGACTG